TTCCTGTTTTCTCATTACATTTAGCAGCAACTCCACTGTTCTCAAATTGAAAAACTGGCGTGAATTTTCCTGTTCACAATCTGTAAAACACATTTCATGCCTTTCAAAGATTTGGCAACTACTGACCATGTCTTGTTTTCTCTTTATTCTTCTAATCTTCTACCTTGCTACCAACAACTTCTCTTTTAGGAAGCATAATGCACAAAAATCTGGAAAATGAAGCATTACTATAGACTTTTGAAGCTTCCATATGCTTTTGTATAGTCAAAAGAGCAAAGTAGGTCTGAACAAGTGCATTGATAGTGCTGGTTCTCATAACAATGTCAGTAAACCCAGCAAAACCTCAGTGATACATGTTGCTGAAGATACACTGTAGCTTAATTCATTAAATACACTGTTACACTTGGTAGAATACCTCACTGAATGTTTCAAACCCAGTTAACAGGCTGTTCCACATCTAGAGGCTAGACAACACTATAAGCAAGCTTTTACAACTCTGAAGACAAAAGCGAAGATTAAACTCCCACCAACAGTACACCAGATATTACAAAGCTGCAGCCAGGCTGATAAATTCAGTTCTTCACATTCAATCAGTGTTTGACTTCATACCCAAATGTAATGGTACTCTTAAAGAAATAAAATACACTGTAAAACAGACTTTAAGCAGGTGGACTGCTATGAATCTTTCAGAGCACAAGCACAGGGTACAAAATTTACATCAAAGTTCTCCTAAAGATGTGTGCTATATTGGTGTTTTCTCTATCAATTGGAATAGAAGAGATTACACTTACACTTACTTAAACCTCTGCTTCAGGCACATCATAGTTATTTCAAGCAGCCTCTGGCCCCTCCTATTTTCTCAACCCTATGCATGTTCTGAATTTCATACAAACCCTGTTCCAAGCACATAATCATGGAATTGTCATGCTTTTGTACTGTGCTTTGCACTGTGATCTTTGTTGTACCCCATGATTTATTTCAGCAAAGCTGTCTTAGAACACATGCAACAAGCCTGCCACCATTGTCACAGCCTAATTCAAGGATTTATAACCTAATTTATCTAACACCAGTGATAAAATAACATTTTAAATAGATGTGTAGCACACAAGCTGCTACAGAACTACTCTCATTCTTCCATTATATTCAGTATCCGTCTGTCAAAAATACTGACACAGAACACTGCCAAAGTAATAAACATCATTGTGCTTCAAATACACAGATTCAATAACTTGGTTACATCTTTCCTTCTATAGCTTGTAAGAAAACCTCATAACTATGGCAATGGTCATGTCATGGCTGTGCTCTTCAGGAAGATTTGCTCATGATAGTTATCAGAAATTTTCAGCTAAAAAGCCTGCACAACCAGTCTGCATTCACAACAGTATCTTTTGGGTGCCACTGCTACAGCAAGTCAGGAATGTGCAAATCATCTCAATGGAAACATGAATTATGACTCAAAGTTACATTTAGATGTCTTCCAGAACCAATAGTGGGGAAAAAAATTCACATTGTTAGAAAACAAGGAAAGGTACTCACTTTTACATTCCTGATGCTCTCTTCTACCTCCTGTACTTTTAAATAAAATTGTAAAGAGCAATTATGGGTATAATCAGATTTAAACCAAGTGGCTTTTTGTATTCAGCACAAGTTTTACCAAACCTCTTTCTCTGTTCTACATTGTAAGGGTATTTTAAAAAGAAGATAAAATTTCAGAGGAGCTTTAAGAAATATTAATTAGCCTTAAACATTATGAATCATTATGGAACAATAAGGCATTAGCACAAACTCAATCCAATCCTATCTATTTCAGCCTACAGGACTAATGGACACTTAAAAAGCATAGCAAGCATCATTCTCGTAACATTGCAATGTTTTAGGAAAATTTTCTCTAGCGAGGACAAAATTTGCAATAATGATGCAATCAGAATATGAAGGGAAATGTCTCAACTTGTTAGAAGATAATGGACAAGAGAATACCAGAAGAAACAGAACCATTCATATCATGCCCAGGACAATGTCTGTCACCTGCAGATGAAAAAGAATGCTTTATGCTCTCCATCTGAATGGAAACAAACACACCATCTGAGAGTAATTTAGACTATCACATCCACCAGATCCAGTAGTTAAGATACACAGGAAAAGTAAAAGTGGAGAAGACGAATTTCCATAATTTCTCTTTGAACAGTCACATGACATCTGTGTGTGTGCAAAACTTGCAAACAGCAATAGAATGTGTGATAAAAGACGTTACTCTTTTCTGGATTTCCACCTGCATGACACATCTTCCTGTCCAAATCTGACAATGAAAGGGAGTAATAGTATACCTGCAGTGTTCTCTGATAATGAAAATATATATAATTAAAACCTAAATTCAGAAGATTAAAAGCATCTGGTACTAGTCTACAGTTACTGATACAACAAAACTATAGACTAATTATTTTCTATATTAAATTACTTCCAATAATGTCAAGCTACTATTGGAGGTACTACCAGAGGTACATAGCATTCTACTGCTGAATTTAATATTCAGTCACATAAAACCACAAATAAAAAATGAAAGAAAAACTGTTTTAGCTCCCATGTTTTTAGTGGTATGAAACACTATCTTGTTTTATAACAAGCTTCTGATGCTTATTTGGGTCCTAAAATATATTCCAGTAAAGCTCAGCATAAAGCACAAAGGACAATAACTGGATAAATAATCGCCATTATAATCCTGCATTAGATCAGCATCAGATGAGCCTTGGTATTAACATACTACAAAAGCCAAACTTTTTTAGTACCTCAGAAGACGAAACTATCTTATCACAAGAAATGGAGATCACATCATAGCTACATACATCAATATATGTAAGGTAACTGGGATAATGAAAAGACAGGGATTTCTCTTTAGCATCCGTACACCACATGCAAGATACAAAAAGGAAACTGACTCAAGGAAAGTTCTCTCCTGATTCCGCTGTTGTTAATGAGCTGAATCTCCACTGTGTCAATTAAAAGATAGGGATTTCGAACCAAAAGAACTGTCTGTATTGAGGTAGTGAGATCAAGCATATTACAGTAACGACTACGGTTTCCACTAACAATGTAGAATTTAGTCTGGGATCTATTTAAGACCAAAATTTCTGTAATGTGACAGACTAAAAATTAGAAATTAAGAACATGGTAATTTTCACTGAGATTATATTATAGAATGTATTTTTATTATAGATACTAACATTATGATAGCTGTTCATGATGCATTTCTTTAAAAAAAAAAGTTTAACATCACGTCAGTATTTACAGTTCCTCTAACAGCACTTCAAAATTTGTCTCTCTTCACCTCTAAAAACAAAACCTTGTTTTTTGTAACTGAAAAACTGAAAAAAGAAGTATCTGCTAACATGCTACGAAGTGGCAAACAGACAGCTTTTTTGAACGTTTGTTATTTTTACAACACATGTAAGAAAAGCAGTTATCACAGTAAACATCACAGTAAACATCATCTCTATCAACTAATTTCAAAAGCTACTTTCAAATACTACCAGTGTGTTTGCTAAGAGTAGCTGTCTTTCAAAACATGAATCTATTAAAAATGACACATGCTGTTCTATGAGCATTGCTTAATTCACAGAAAGTCGATTTTTAAGCATGTGTGTAAAATGAAGGTTACAATGAAGATGGCAACCTACTTTAAATACTGTCACAGAATAATAAAGGACATTTAGTCCTCAATTTTCTTCCAACGGTTCTCTGAAGTAAAGAGAGTAAAGTAAAGAGTAAATTTGCAATTTGGGTTATTACTCATTTTTTGTTGTTTGGTTTTAAGAAGAATGAAAACAGTGATACATTTGGAGAGCTAACAGTCACAAAAGTGAATGCAAAATACATTACTTTTGCCAAGTACTACATACAAGAACTTCAATTGTAAACTGTTAAAATTTATGTTTAGGTGTACACTGAATTTTTCTGGAGGGAAGAGTTTGTGATTCATATGGTAAAACAGCTCTTTGGGTGTTCAAGAAAAATATTTGGGATAGAAATATTACTTGTTTTCTTAGCTTTCAATTTCCATTCAACTTCTAGCTAAAATTCATTGGCAGCAGACCTCTGAATTCTCTTAGCCTTTAGAAGATGTTACGCAGATTTTTGGGTTTGGCTCTCTGCTTTTCAGCTGAAATCCAGTATTTACCTGCCTAATCTACACTGTTCTGAAAATAAGCCTGTGGCTTCAAAAAAACCTAATGGTTGACGTAGTGTGCTAAAATCCAGCACGACTTAACAGGATAGCAGATCAAGCTTTATGGTGCTTTATGACATCGAAACTACTACCACTACCTGATAATTTGAACTCACTTAAGGACTTCATACCTTTATGGTTTTAGAATTGTTCGAAATTTTCCAGTAAGTTAACTAAAATTTGGATGGTATATCACCTCCCTGAAACACTTTACTCAATCTATAATAAAAATGCCATCTGCATAATTTCTGTATCTCAATTGTTGGACTAAGTAGAAATGTGAGCAGGCCCACAGTCAATTCAGTACTGTTTGGTGACCTAAGACTGCACAGTTCCAGTAGGAATAATTTTAGATTCACGATCACACAAAATTATTTTGTGTTTTTGTGATTTGAATAAGGTAGTATTATCAGAAAGGTGAGATATATTTCTACAATTGCTATGACATAAGACAATACAAACCAACTTCAAGCTACACTCTGTAATGCTACCCAGTCAGATTCCTTCTCATTTATTTTTTTTGTAACAAACTCTTCAAATGAATTGTTCTCTAAAGATACATTCTGCAAATGAATCATGGTTTAATCAGCAGATGAGCCCGTTTTATATGTTTGTGTTATTGAATGGGAAACTTTCACACTAAAATTAACATCAGAAAAGTCTAATGCAATAAGGCTGTCATGTTTCACAAAACATAATGTAGACTAAGCAGCTAAGAAAACAATAAAAAAAAAAATCAGTATCCTCCTAATTTTTACTACAGGGGAAAATGTCAGCTTACCTGACTTGTGCTTCTTGTGTTTTGCTTTCTTTTTAATTATGAACAACTTGTTCTGGATCTCAGATTTGTAAGATTTGAACGGATGAAGATGAATCTCACGCTTTCTTTGCAAGTCATCAAGCTTTCTCTGTAGATTTTCATTTAGGATATCCTTCAACTTCTTTTTTTTCTTTTTCTTCTTTTTTGCCCGCAGCTTATTTATTTTCTTATGATTTCGTAGTGAGTTCTCTAGCATTGCTTCTTTAGCAGATTCATGGTAATTTATGTCTTGGTTGTCATAATGAGTGCCATTGACATGCATTTGGCAAGCGTTCAGTGTGTTCTCCTTGAATGGACTGATCTCAGCTTTTACTCTGGTCATTTCAGCACAACCTTGTCTATTCTCCACAGCCCTTATTTCTCCTGAACTAGGGTGACCACCCATACTAGCAATCTCTCCCGAACTAGTCAAATTCCTCACATTCTCTTTATAGCAACCAGTTTTTTTGATGTTGCTGACTCTTGAGGTCTTGATTTCACAGTTAATCTTAATCTCCTCTGTAGTGACTCTAAAGCTACCTAAATGTGGGGTTTTTTCTGGACAGATAACAATGGAGCCCATACTTTCCTCTGTTTCTGTCTTGGAATGATGTAGCAGCTCTTCTTTACCACCAGAGCTGACCTCCCCATTACTTTTGCTTACATATTCATGTTTTGCTTTCTCCGATTTAATACGTGACACTTTTTTAACTTTAATGGGAGGAGACGGGAATTCAGGAGCTTGAAAAGGTTTTTGTTTGTAAATCCGAACGTCTGCACCACAGAACTGTGGAAAATGAACATATGCATTCTCCAAGTAGTCATAACCAAGAATAACTTCTCGGCACTCATGGATAGGCTGACCTAGCACTGCATCCTGGACATCCTTTTGTGTTTCATACACAAAATCACAAAGACCTTTCAGCAGCCATACTTTTTGGTAGAATGGTAGCTCATGAAATGATTTTTCCTCCAAGGGATTAACTTCTCCAAGGACTTTGAAAAACTGAGGACACAATCCAAGTTTTTCTGCAGAGCTATTAGGATTGTCAGTCTGCCCTACAACAGTATACCAGTGTTGTACTTTCTGTCTTAGTGCTGCTTCCCAAGCCCTGTAAGAAAGCGTAGGCCTGCGATGTAAAGTAGATCTGCGATGAGGAGGACTTAACAAAGAAGTCATTATTTTAGATAAAAAAGCATTACACTGAGGCATCAGAAGACAACGTTCCAATTCATAGAATACTATTTCAGGTAAATTTAAGATCTGTTGTGCTAAACAAAGAAAATGACCAATAGCTGGAATCTCCCACATTGTCTCCATCCTTGTAGGTGCTGCTTGAGCTAAAAGTGACTTTTCCCATTCTTCTATTTCTTTCTGACTAGCTTCTTCTGCTTCTTTTCTTTCTTGTTCTCTCAGCCTATTAAAAGAAAGTTCACAAAAATTTATGTATCAGGTGAAAAAGAAGAAACTGAGGAGATAAAAAAATCAGAACTACAGCATGACAAACATACTCATCTACAAGTAATAAAGAACACACTACATAAAGTTTGCATTCAGTTTGTCTTACTTTGGATTACAGAACACATCACTGCACCAAAAAAGGAAATTATAGTCTTTTATTTCTATCACCACTAGTTTTAAAAACGGGAAAAGTTAAGAAAAAAAAAACCCAGCCGATATCAATAGTTTGGGTAGTTTGGATTTTTTTTTTTAAAAAAAAGGTATTCCCCTTCCCTATCTCTTTTGGCAGGATTAAGTGTTTCCAAAAAACTATCCATACAAAAATCTCTGAAACCAAATTCCAGATAAATCTTGCTTTCAAATGGCTGCCCTGCGGCTTGTGTCACCTACCTTGTAACTCCCGTCCTCAGTACATAAGTACACATGCCTAACTGTTAAGTGCTTCATTCACATACAAAAGCCATTTTTCCTCCCACCCATAGGCATGTTACTAGTTGGTTTGCAATGGTGGTCAAAAAGGAGACAAGTATCAGAATGCATGAAGAATGTGATGGAAAATAACACCAGAAATAAAATGTCATTACATTAATAAATGGTTTGCCCTCACCTGAAAAACTGTATTCAGTTCTGGTCCCCCTATCTAAAAAAGGATAGAGCAGAAATAGTGGGTATTCAGAGAATGCGATTATCAGTAATCAGAGGCCTGCAAAAACTTCTGAAAAATCTGGGAGTCTACACAAAACACTAGCAAGAGGAAACATGAGAGCAATAAATAAAACTAACATGATAGACTGGGAACTTCTATTTACTTTTATTTGTAAGTTCATCATGAAATTTAAAAGCAACAAGTTTAAGAGGAAGAAATGCTTCCACTTCAGACAATCAATCATGCGTAGCTTAACATCTAATTTACTAGAATACAACATACGTTAATTTAGTTCCAAAGTGAGAAAGAGGACATCTGCATGAATCACAAGAATATCAAGGAGTAGTAACAGGAGGGATTTTTCTTAAATGTTGCAATGGTAAACTAACATTTTTGCCTCAAGGCATGACCAGATTCCAAAAGATAGGATTAGGATACAATGGAACTTACAGGAGAATTTTTTTAGACCTCATCCAAAGTTCCTCATATCTTTTTCTCTGAAGCTTCTATCACTGACCACTGCTAGAAACAAGCACCTGCACATATCACTAATATGACCTGTTACTGGAATTTACATTTCCTGATATCCAGATCGCTAACCTCATATACAAGTAGCAAAGAACCCCCACGTATTCATTCAAAGCATCAATGCTTTCCAAATTCAGAGTACTGCTATGTTAAAATCTTTCTTTTGACAACATGAAGCTAATAGTGGCTTCTAGCATGAAGAATGTGTATTTGAAGCATTAAGTATCAACTAGACATCTCAATAATTTAAAAAATGCAACAAATCTAGCTTAGCCCACTTTTTAGTATCAATGCAGGAGAAACATGCCATGACCACAAACTTAAAATCTGCATCCTTTGTGTATGCGAAATGGCATATAAAACCGTAAGATTCCTCTGAATGCTTTACCTTATAGAATTAAATTAAATTTCAAGTGACTTGTTACTATAATTTGAACAGAAATTTTTAGTACCACATACATGCGTTCTTGTTATTTATGTACCTATCAAATGCAGAAAGACAGATTCATGTAAAACATAAAATTAAAATGCAAAAGCAAAAAGGTCAATAAATTCTCAACTTCATTCTCCCAATGCAGTAATAATTTAACCATATAATGGATGGGATCTAAAGACAAAGTCCCCTTTTACAGCACTAATTTAAACACATGATGAATGTGGTCTAATCACAAAATCCCATTTGCCATTCTAGGTGAACAAATCAGTAAATTCAACAACACTACTTGAATAGGTAAAGTCAGATTTTTCTCTCTTCTGACTTTTTTTACTATTTCCGGGCATTAATATAATAAATAAAAAGTAAAAATGCTAAATAAAAATAAGTAACTTCCAAGTGGGGAAGAGAAAGAAATAATAGTGAGTAAAACGCATTCTCAAAGATAAATTTTCAAGTACTCCTGAATCCCCCTCCCTCCTAACTGTAAAATATACTTCCAAACAACCTGCTGCCTCCAAAAGTTACGAACTCTATTAAAATAGTATGGATATAAGCTTAAATATGAATCAATAGACAGTGAGATAGAACATTTGTAGAAAAATAAAAACACAGGCTGTAGATGATCTAAAAATATTGTCTTGGCAAGCAGTTTCAACTTACCATCAATTAGCAATTTAAATTAAAGTAAAATTCTCAAAATAAATATAATACCCAGATTCACCCGTCTCATACTTTGTAAAATGAAAGTCATTATGCTATTTCACAGATATTATTAAAAAGAAAAACATACATTGTTTCACTTCCAAAGTTTCCCTTTTTTTTTCTAAAGCTACCACTTTATCATAATATATTAGTCACCCCATTCCCAGTAGACATTCAAGAAAAAAAACATAAATAACAGCACACTTCCTTATGTTCATTACTGAGGTCTTCCTACTGGCTGCCCATCTTTTGGAGAGCATAGCTTTTTCCTGGCGTGTTTTTTTTGAGAGGGAAAATGGGGACAAAGAGGGTAGAGGAAGTGGGGCAAGGGAGCAGGGTGGGACACAGACAGGGAGAGAAACATTTTATATTTATGAGGACAAATATCTTTATACTGAGTAATTACCTGGACAAGCATATTTGGCTTTTATATGGGCAGCAATTGTAAAAAAAAACAACCCAAAAAACAAATAACGGTTGATTCACTATTTTGTTTATATTTATCAGGAATATGTTTGCAGACACACATTGTGCTTACAACAATTAACACAAAACTATTCTAAGGTCAAGCTGACATTTCCAAGCTAACAACGGACCAACGTGTTCCTAGAACATGTCTGAAGCAGTTTCACATGCCAGCAGACATGCTCCCCAAGTAGAGATATTACCTAAACCAGAGTTCTTATTATTTTCTCCCATAAGACAGCAGACACATCTCATCAGCTAACTCCTTCTCCCTTGCAACAAAAGATTTCACTTGGAGCAGAGAGGTGGCAAAGACTAGACTGTACATTTTTTCCTCCCTAGTTATCACTTCTAACCCACCTAAGTGTTGAGTAATTTTTCACAGGTAAGGCATTGGAACTCTGATGATAAGGTATAGAGAATTGCTTTAATTCTACAATAACTTGTTTCTATAAACTAGAAATCTATGTACAAAATAGCAATATTATGCATTATTCTAAATTTAATCAAGATCTAGTACTCAGAAAAAAATAAATTTGGAGATGCCCATGTGACTTTAATTCTATATCTGTAATGCCTTACATCATATTATGGCATACTCTATATTCCTCCATAGGACCCACGCTCAGAACATCCTCATAAAAGGCAAAATTGACTGTATAAGCATACCTCATTCCACAATTTGCTAATTTAAATGACTAACTTGCAACCAGAATTGGATTCTTAAAATGTTTTAATGAACATGTCTGAAGCTTCTCCCAGGATCATGTTCTCAGAAATGGTAAAGACATGAAGCTGCTTAGCATAATTCAACAAATCAAAGTAATGCAGACACTTAATTCCCATTGAAATCAACCAGTTAATAACCTGTCATTCACTGGTGGGTATAAACATTTCATTAGGAGTCTACCTTTATGTTTTGGTATCTAAATGCCTCTATATAGGCAAGCATTTTCAATTATATAATAATACCACAATTATTTATTGTTAACTAATATGTAAGTTAGTATGTGTAATCATGTTACTTAATTAGCATGTAACCAAGCAGCCAAGTAGAACCTCATGGAAATGCAACTAATAATCCAAATAAGATAGTAAATGTTCTTAGAACAATTGAACAAAAGGAAGGCTTATAAACAAGACTGACAAGAAAAGTAAATTTGATGTTGTTATATATATAAACTTGGCAGGGAGAGAAAGGCAGCAGCTTTTGCTGCTGTAGAGAAACTATTAGCTGCAAAATAGTGAAATTTGTAAAGACATTTTCTCAGTTTTAACATGTTGAGTCTACCATGATGAATGTATCACTTGGCGGAGGTTATAAAATATTAAATATAGAAAAAACCACGAAATAGATTGTCCAAGAAATGAATAAACTAAAAGAAAGGAAAAGAGAACTGCCTACAAAGGATACCTACATAAAAATAATAAAAGGATTTGGAGTATGATTTCCGTTAAATTAAGTAAGATAAGAAATTAAGAAAGATAAAAAACACACTTCAGGATATTCTTCCAAAACATGCTGTTGAAAACAAGCTTGTAAAATCAATTTCAATGATTTTGGAAAAAAACCCTAAAAGTATTTTAAAGATTTCATTTACTGCAGTTCTTTCTACTCATCTTAAGGTGCTTGTGCCTTACAGGAGTATCTAAATATCCAAAGCAAAAGATTAGATATTAACTTGGACTTCCACACATGATTTCTTTATGTATTAGGCTAAGTTTTGTAGAAAAACACTTACATTTGCAGCCTTACTTATCTGGGGCTGTATGTAAGTATGTAACTCCTAGTGAGGCAGTTCAACAGCCTGAACCAAGATAATTACTAGCTAGAAAGTATACGTATGCTGAGTGCTCAGCTGGATGGCCAGAAAGAGCAATTTTTTATGTTCCTGACAACTCATCTGCAAGTTGGGTGCACAGCAGCTGCTGCCACCCAAACATAACTGATTTGCCAGTACACAAGCAAGTTATACTACCACACTACACACAGTTTTATGGGGGAAAACAGCAGCAGAGCAAAAACAAAAGGAAGGCAAATTACAGTATGGTGGAAATTAAAATGCTAAATAGTTTACCCACTCATGTGAATTGACCATTACAGTTACTCGTAACTGTACTCTGACACAGGGTACTATAGCAAGAGTTTTGGACACTCATTCTTTTACAACTGTGATGAAAGACTAAACGAAACAATCAATAAAAGTAAGAATCAGTAAAATACTCTGTATCCAGTGAAGCAGCACCTCAGTTCTAAGAATACAGTTTGTACATGAATTATACCGGGATACACTAAAATAAACAGGAGTTCTGTATTAGCCTGAAAAACTGTGTGCTCCATTTAAACTACCCAAGTCTGCTATCTTGCATATAGTTTTGAAAGTATCTATTATGTGCCAACCTCAATGTGTCACATTTCTTAAAAAAAAAAAAAAAAAAAAAAAGAAAATGAGGCCACAAGGAGTTGGGCTAATGGAGGCTTTTAATTTGCTCTTCTCAGAAGAGAGAGCTCTGTGGGAAGAGATCTCTTTTCCAAGAAGCTGGGGCTCAAAACACGCAGAAGCGATAAACCCAGTGCAACTCTTTATTATTTTGACTATTGGAGAGGGAAGAAATTGTAGCATCCTCGACGATTATTTGTCCTCGGTTTTGTTTTTTCCTTTTTGCACAGTAAAAAATGCAAATGTAAGCAAAGCAGACGCTGGCACGTTCAGCTCGGCGGATCCGAAACACAATAGCGATTTTGGGTAAAGCTCCCAAACGCAGCTTTACTCCAGCTCGAATAAAGCGGCTATTCCATAATTAATAATTGATGGAATAATTGATCATCACCACACAACCGGACGGGATGCCCTATTAAACCTTGGTAAATATTTTTCATTGGATTAACAATAATTTTTTCTTCCTAACAGGTAACTATATTCAACATAATCTCTATGTCAGCAATAATCCAAACATCCAAACTCAGTTTAGGAAGCTGTAATGTGTTTTAGAATAAAAAGTGTCCCATCTTAGTGTTGAAAGTGTGCACATTTATATGTAAAACATTTTGAAAGTTTATATATACTACATCATATGATCTTCACTAGTAATGCAATACTAATTTTATTGGCCTTCCAAATTCCAAGCCTCTTCATAAAATTCCTCTACAAATGTTTTGGAACATTTGCAATTCCGTGAGTTGGGAAACAATCAGTAAAGAGAGGTCCAAGTTACTTTGAAAACATGGTTGATCCACCAAGAAATAAGAAAAGTTAAGAAGATATATAAAGCATGATTACTTGAGGAGACCAACACAGTCAAAGAAATATTCCACCAGCTAGCTACTGGCATATTTTTACTGATATAGTTCAAAATTTTATGGCATAAAGAGGCCATTTAGTTGTGATCTTTTTCTGTTATTGTAGAACATTCTGTATAATCAACCACTGTAGAATATGCTTTGCACAGGATATGGGACTTTTGAGTATATCCAGATACATGGATTTAACTGTTAGTCACTACAGTTTTGCAGGAACATGCTTAAAACAGGTGCATGAAAGCAAAATTTTTATTTGATAACGTAGTATGTTCTACTGACTCTCTAGATGAATTAAAATCCAACCCAAATGTCCTTTTTCATAACAGTGCTATCAAGTTCAGAGATCTAGAACACAGAGTTAATCTACCAGAGAAACAATAACATCTGGTGATCTTTGGTTTTTTGCAAAGCATGAGGTGGATTACAAGAAGAAAGATTCACTCATTTCTAGGGAAAAGGTACTGGCTAACAGTCAAGCCAGCCAAAACTGTATGATTTCAAATCTGTTGAAAATTACCCACAAAATGAGAGTGAACTGGTTATATATGGTAAAAATCTCCCATACTGTACACTTCGAAAAAAGCTGGGAATATTTTGCTTCATAAAGCTAATACTGTCATATCATCATGCTCCACACTTCAGACACAGTCTCTCAAGTAACTGCTAAAGTATACAAGCTCATAAGCTTTGTTTTGTCAAAGTGAAACATATCACAATCAACATTAAACACCGCTTGGAATTATATTATACCTCTTAAAATTTATGGAAGCCACCAAATCCCACAGAATTACTTACATACACATTCTAAATTTGTTATCTAACTGACAAACTGAAATGGCACATCAGTGAGATAGCAGGAGTGGCACTGGCAGAGATAATTTGCTTCTAGCTATTAGTGAAGATCACAGGATTAGACTGTAGTTAAGCATACTGGCAGCTTTTACTCATTGTTGCACGGAAAACAATCCATGGAGAGCTATGATAAACCGTGACCGAGCTAACAGGAAATTGCTGTGGATGCTTTCAGTTACTATTAAAAGTTTCACAATCCTGAAATAACAGCAGCCTTAATTTATTTTATAGCTTATATGACTTCAGCAATTTTTCAATAAGGTGGTAAATCAAAAACTAATTTCTCGCTTCGTTAATGCACTGTATTGAAGTTCTAGGTTCATTCACGAACTTAAGACAAAGAGCTCCACAACATTTATTTACCTAAAAAAGCCCTAAGGAAAGAGTCCATGTAGAGAACAAGGAAGACATAGTAATTTAAAACCAAAACAAAACTGTTTTTCCTATTACCTCTTTTCCTCTTTTGCTCTCAGCTGTTCCTCTTGTCTTAGAACCTGAACCATCACAGACTCAAACATGCCCGTTGACAAGCCTACTAAATTGCGAGGCGTGGAACGACGTCTTGTTGAAACACATGCCGTTCCTTTCTCATCTTCCAGCCCATAGCATCCTCTAGATGTTACAGCTATTGATGTCTTCTCCCTTAAGTGCCTTGAAAAAAATCAAGCCAATGCACAATTATGATTTTCTTTACCAACAGCCCTACCACCCATACATCAAGCATATTTACTCAGAAAAAAAGCAGTTACTTTTCCCCTGCCATTTTTTCCACTTTGAAAGTTCCCTTACAAAATTTTAAACTTAAAACCAACATGCTAACATGAATTATGTTTTCACATCTGGCAAAAATGGTGGATAGTTATCTCAAGTAACCAATATTATTTAGAGATTGTATTAATCCATAAATATGTGGAAAGAAAATACTTCCACAAAACTGAGATAAGAAGCGATCATTTTTAGAAGACACTTAAAAAATACTGAGGGGGGAAAAAAGCGCACTTGCTGGTTTGATCTGGGGGGTGTGGGTGTATGTTAAAAAGCAGTACAGTTTCATTAAAAAGATAAAAAGCAAAACACCACCAATTTGGTTGTAAAGTTATGTTTTATCTTACACTGTTTCAAAGTACTCCAGCAAAACTGATGAGAAGTAACACTATCACACAACCTCTGGAAACACTTGAGGGGAGAGGGAAAAATCCAACCTCCATTCTAAGGTAATTTTCTGGGGTTTGTAATATCTGAGAATCATACAATCAACGCTGATCCCTTCCCTTGAGTGACTTGATAGGGATTAGTGAGTTAAATACTGCTCTGTAACAAAGCAAGAATGATTATCTCAAGAAGTAGTTCTTAAGTTTCATTTTACTAATAAAATTAGTTCTGTTAAAAACTTAAAACAAATCTGAGTAAAAATTGTAAAAGACTGAGACCTCTAGATTCCACAACCCTTTCCATATATAGTTCTTAGAAACTTTTACTAAGCTAGTGTCCACAGATAAATCGAAAAAATCTTTACAAATCTCTGAAGATTTAATGTAAGAGAAATTCACTACAAACTGAGGTAGGATTATTTTTAGCCAGCTTAATATTTCTTAATATTTATTTTAACAAAGTATGTCCATTTGCGAAAGAACGACAATGACAATTTAATTTTTTTAGTATATACATATATTACTATTTGACAACAGAGTACATAAATTGACTTCACTTTCTCATGGAATTTCTAATAAAAAGACACTGAGCATTCTCAGGTCCTACCTAATCCAACAAGCAGTCATATAATTCAACAAAGAGCCTTCAACAAAACGCCCTTCGATTCAATACAGTTGAGATGTTACAGTCAAACAACATACAGAAATGAACTCGGTACAAGTCTTCCAAGCTGCAATTGGTTGCCTATTTATCTGCCAGCAGTAACTCTTTTAAGCCAGGAATTCTGATTTTTTTTTTTTTAATCAAGTTTTACTCAAACTAGCAATATTCATGCCCCATTAGATTCAGCTCCTTCCTTTCTAATCCCAAGCTGTCCCAGAACTGCTGTTATACAAAAATAATTCGAAATATAGCATTACCACGCCAACACAGAATACATTGACTTGGGCTTATTCAGTTGAGTTCTGCACCGTGCTCCTCACATGTTCCTACTATACAAGCAAGGTTCCTCTTACCAGCTGGTGCCTAATGCTTTGTATCACTAGCAAGTTTAAGGTTGATAGACACACACAGCTTTACACATTTCCTAATACCGTTCCTTCTTCACCTTCAACCTTTGCCAAAACATTCTCTTGTTTTTCACATGCAAAATTCTGTCACTCAGAAGACTGATGGAACTTTCATTGTAAGAAGCCACCATGGTTTTCCGAGTATGACTAAACTAAGCCTCATGTCAGACTCATGAGAAAGCATGTATTTCAGTTGTGATTTAAGCTGGTCTTTCTACTACATAGCTTGACAGCTTTCTATGCTTCAGCTGCTTTGGCCGATAAACAAGTTTGTGACAGGGACTTATATTTAACCATATCACAATTTCCATTTTGCTACTCAAGACTATAATATGCAAAGCCCTATCTTTCATTTTATGATTATCAAAAAACATTCTGACATTAAATTTCCCAATTCGAAGCAGGTGCTTTGGCTGAAGATTTTATTCCTACTTATTTTAAAGATGGTAAAAACTTCACAGACTGTAAAAATCACAATTTTAAAGAGCCAGTTGTTTATACAGAGTTTTGGTAGTTTCACTTGCTTTTGTCAGCATAAAATAAAGAATGATTTGACATCTTGCCTAACAAGTGTGCCTCCATGTTCATAAAAGCCTTCTTTCAAAAGGAAAATGTTAGCCAGAAAATGCTGTACCCTATTTTGCATTTTGGTATTTTCAGGTTTGGAATCTCTAAAGCATTTAGATTTCACATTTGGATAGTACCCTGTAGGAATGTTCTTCTGTGTGAGTAGGCAGAATTCAAGGGAACCATTCAAATGTATTTTATTGTGGGCTTTTAAAAAACCATTCACATGGTATTTTTTACATGAAAAAAAGGCACCCTCCTGTTCTACTTTATGTAAGCAGCATCTGGCAGGGCACCTATAGAGTTTTCTACACCTACCGGGACAGCAGCGCCAGCTTCTGTTCCAGCATCATCTCCAGCTTCTGGGCCTGTTTGGAGAGCCAGTGATCTACACCGTGCAGCCGGTAACATGTCTCCAGCATTAGCCGGAAGTCACCCACAAAATCTTCTATTCCTGTGTACTGCCCACTGGAAAATTTCTCTTCCATCTTCAACAGCCACATTCCAGCTGGTGACTGCTGAAAGGAGTGACTGCTGTTACGACCCGAGAGGGAGCCTGCTCCTTCTTCCCTGACGGTTGCCTGATCCGCGAGGGGCTTCAAAAACGGTGCTGTCAGCGGTCGGTACTTCTCCATGAGAAATTCGCGCAAGATGCGGTATCCCTGCTGCAGCTCGGGATTCAGGCTCTGCTCCCAGGAGCTGCCGCCGCTCTTCCCTCCCGCATCATCTCCCTCCTTCTCCGGCTCCTCCTCCCCGCACCGAAGGCGGCTAGCCGCGGGCCCATCGCCCGAAAGGTCCGCACCCGCGGGTTCTGTCAAGTCCATGTCTCCCGCCCCGCGCCCGCACAGGGCCTCGACGGCTGCAGGAGGGCTGCCGGCCCCGGGCCGCCTCTTCAGCATCAGCTAGGAACCGCCGCGCTGCCCCTCGCCCGGCCGGCGAATCGACATCGGGCCCACCTATGCACAGAGACACGATTCAGTCCTCCGCCAACGCTCCCCCGCGACGGCCTCAGCCCTGCCCCGAACTGCGGCGGGGGTGGAAAAGGCCGCGGCTGCCCGGGAGGAGGCAGCGGCCGGCCGCCGGACTTGGCCCGCCTCCCCCCGGCGCCAGCCTCCCCTGGCCTCCGCCTGGCCCCGCGTACAGCCCCGC